ACAAAAAATAGAAAAGTAAATTGCAGTTTCTATAACAAAGGAAGACAACTCTGCATACACATTTGGTAAAGTTGCATTTCAATAGCATAACAACTGCATCATTCCAGCTGTCACTCGGGAAAACTGCACTGTGCATGTCTGCAGAGATAGGTCAGCTCTGTTAATCCTTGCTTCATCTTCTGCATTGGATCTTAAGAGTGCAACACTTTGCTCAAAGCAAAATGTGTAATACACTGAGACTAACTAAGATTCACAAAAGCTACAGAGTGGAGAACATGCATGTCAAATGTCAGCCTGAAAAAAGATTTTGTGTGTTCTGTGGGAATAAAAAACAAACCAAATAACTCCACATATGTACATGTAAGTCTCCTTGGCCATGGAGAGAATATACATACTAAAATGGCAGATGATATATGCTTTAGTAATTAGAGCAATGCCATGGACAGACTTAAGGTCATGTTTTAAAATACATGTAATTATTATACCTTTCTGGCGAACTGATGGCAGTAAAAACTGCATTTTAGATCTATACAGCAGAGGGCACTAGTGTTATTGAGTTGACCATAGGGTTGATATTTTGATACTAGAAAATTGAAGGGGGGAAAAATCACTTAGAAGACAAAGAGTTGTCAACAAAGACTAAAGGAGCTGGTGTCTGGTCTGTGCTCCATGTGTGGATTTATAAAGCTAAACCTTTATGTGTCTCTAACAGACAGATATTGAATGACAAATTACTCTAGTACTGAGTTCCAGATAGGTCCTTATGTAAAGCCCATTAAAATATTTCCATGATGTTCTTCGAGGCTTTAAATGAATTTTTCACTGTGTTTTTTTGTGCTGGATATTTTTTTTTCCAGGATATTGGTGGTTTAAAATTACCCTGATGCTAAATAACTGCACCAAGGCTTCCTGAATAGTTGAGCTCTGAGCTGTAGAAAAACACCAGCACAAAAGACCTTTTTAATAAATTCCTCTGCCACTAAGAATCTTACTGTAGTATGTTAGCCTCATGCAAAGCTTGCCAGTTGGAAGGGAGCACTTGCAAGGCATTGCCTAAAATATTTTCTGCTGATCAAGTTGGCTTTTTTTATCAGTTCCCCTGCACTTCAGCAGCACCAAACCGCTTAATGTTAAAGACTATGCTAAATATTGCAGTTTGCTCCCTGTGTTACCAGGAAAGAGAGAGAAATATTTAGTATGTAAATAAATTCTAAGTTAAATCAAATGCTACAAAAGCTGAGATTTGCTCACACTGCCTCCCAGAAAACATTCCAGAGGAATGGCAATATAAAACTTCTGTACTTACACATTAAACAAGATAAAGCTTAAACAGAGAAAAATCAAGCACACTGATACATATGAAAATACATCTAGAACTTCCCATCCACATTTCACAAAATGCTGATCTGGTCTTCAAAATGATACAATCAGAGAAGCTAATAAGTAGTCAGCGACCCAGCTTGTATTCAAAGTATACACCGATTTGAATTTTGCAGAAACTTGAAGTTTGCAGAATTTCCTAAGGGTCTTTGACAGGTCATAGTCCTGAGGCTTATCTGTGATTGACACATACTTGGCACAGGACTGAGGTAAAAGGTAAACAGAAAAGCCACGGGTGATTTTGGCCTTCAGTACAAAGAGCTGGTCTATGTGGCTGATTAATTGCCTGAGTCAATAACCAAACATGGGAAGAATATAGGGAATTTATTAAAAGATTATAAAACAAAAGCACGTCTTTTAAATATCTTTTTGCAGCTGAGACATGGAAACATTTTTTGGGGGATGAACAATTTTTGCCAATCAGTATCATAACTGTCCAATTCGTTATAATGAAGTACTGTATTTGAGTAAAATGGGTTTATCTGCTTGGTTGTATTTTTTAACCCATGGAGCATATGTGTAGTGATAGAAAGGGAATATTTGCTGGATAATGGAGTATCCTTTAAAGTAAAAGGGGCATGATACATTAAGACTTCAAGGCCAGGATGCGTGGGGATTGGAGCAATCTGGTCTAATGGAAGGTGTTCCTGCCCATAGCAGGGGATTGGAACTAGATGAGTTTTAAGGTCCCTCCCAACCCAAACCATTCTTTGATTTTTTTTTAATGGTAAAATAATTGGTTTGGTGTATTTCTCTATCTGATTTATAACATTTTTATGGAACTAATTATTCAGTGCAGGTCCTTAGGGGATAAGTTTTAGAATATTTTTTTTTTTTTAGAAAAAAACAAGAGAACAAAAAGAGAAATCTACTGAATAAAGGAAAACCAGTGACAAACAAAAATGCTAATACAGTTACATGAACTATCACAGAAAATGGTTTATTAGTATTCAGCTGCAAAACTCGTGGATCACAGATCTTAACTCAGGAGCCTTAAACTGATATTAGGCTCACTAATATAATTCTTTAGACTACAATGTGTAGATTCTTCTTCCTGACAGTCTAAGAAAGATAAGAAACAGGTCTTTTTCATCCTTTTTGTGGATAGTTTTGCTACAGTTGGACTTTTGAAGTAAGGGAACTTGAATCTTAGTGATTACTTGGAGAGTGTTTCTCCATATATTGTGTTCAGCATCTCTGAAATGAAAAGTGACATTGTAAGTCTGCAGTAAAAAGGAATTCATGTAAAGCAGCTACCCATACCTAGTCTAGTACATTGTCCTAAACCCATGAAGCCAATGTCAAGAACTGCAGTTGTTGGCAGAGGGAAGAGATAAAGAGGTGGGAGCAGTTAACACTACAGCCACAGGGGTCTTCCCAGAGAGGAAGAACCTGAGTGACTTGCTCAAGGTTGCAAAACACATTAGCTTAATGAATCTTTCATAGCAAGAATGATGCTTTATAAATAGTACTTACAGAGCAGATCAAACAAACAGATAAAGCCCAGACTTTCCAATTCCCATTCAGAGGTTTTTAACCATTATATCGTATTTTTTTTTCAGTAAATTATTAAAAGTGAGATTGGAAAAACTTGCAAGCCTTTATAACAACCATTGCAACCATTATAACAATTTTTTAAAAAATGCAGAAATGAATTCTCAAACCTCTCAAAATTCTCAAGAAAATTGCCTGAATACATAATTAGGGAGAAAAAAAAAAAAAAGAAAAGACTTTCGTTGAAAGGATGCTGTGAGATGCAAGTTAATATATTTCTTCCTGGGTTTGTTTTTGGTTTTGTTTTGTTTTTTTTTAATATGGGGTTTTACACAAAATGAAACTATTTGAAGGCTGGAGTGGAAAACTGTTGCCTTACAGTATTTTGTTTTACTGAAAGTATGTATTATGCATCTAGGTACTTTAGTTTATAAATATGTTTTAAGCTTGCTGTAATTTATAAGACTTCACTTTTGGCTGATTTATAAGAAATTTAATTAATTTCTGCAACAGGCAGATCTTGCACTCAGCACCAGACTGAAAATAAGCTGAGGGCTGGGGGCTTTCAGAACTACCACAAACAAAGCAGTAATGAAATTCTCAAAATGGTAATGATTGTATTGGAAAGACTTTTTTTCCCATTACAGTATGATCTGTAGGTTTTCTTTAGAGTTGCTTATGAAACTGCCAACCCTGAAGCTACAGGGGTAATTTTCAGCGTTTAAATGGCTATTCTTATTTCTGTGTTCAGCACACATTTACTAATGAGTGTTCCTCTGGTGTTGGTGCCAAACAAAAGAACTGAGGACAAAATATCATGAAATAGGATGGTGCTGTTTAACAGTAGGGAAAAGTTACAGAACTGATGGATGGGGCAGAACAGCTGATGTCATCTACCTGGATTTCTGCAAAGCGTTCAACACTAGCCCACACAACATCCCTGTCTCTAAACTGGAGAGACATCAATTTGATGGATGGACCACTCAGTGGATAAAGAATTGACTGGATGGCCACACACAGAAAGTTGTGGTTAACAGCTTGATGTCCACCTGGAGATGGTAAAAAGTGGTGTCCCTCAGGGGTTACTGTTGGGACAGATCCTGTTCAACACCTTTGTCAGCAACGTGGACAATGGGATTGAGGCTTCCAAAGCAAGTTTGCTGATGACCTCATAGCATCCTTCCAGTTTCTGAAAGGTGCCTACAAGGATGCTGGAGAGGGACTCTTCAGGAAGGACTGTAGCAATAAGACAATGGTAATGGGCTCAAACTTTAACAGGGGAAGTTTAGGTTAGATAAGAAGAAGAGTGGTGAGGCACTGGAACAGGTTGCTCAAGTAAGTTGCAAATGCTCCATGCCTGGCAGTGTTCAAGGCAAGGATGAACAGTCTTGGGTGACATGGTGTAGTGTGTGGTGTCCCTGCCCATGGCATGGGGGTTGGAAGTTGATGATTTTAAGATCCTTTCTAGCCCTAACTATTCTATATTCAACACTTAGCATGTTTCTTTTGGGATTTTGTTTAGTCATTTTGTTGGTTTGCTTTTAATTTGACATAGGCAAGATCTTGTCCTGACATTTGTATGACCTGCTACTTTCAGTATTAAAGGTTTTACTTCTAGTTAAACCTCAATGCAGAAATCATGTTTATATAGACAAAGGTTTTCACTTCTATAAAACAGGAGTATCCTGTTGTTCTTCATATTATCTGTTGTCTTATAATGTGTCAAGAAGATTAATGCCTTGAATATTCTGATAATTCCTATATTACCCATTTTTTGCTTTTTGAGGCCTTTGTCACTTCTTTCAATTCTCTCCCGAGTCAGAACATTTTTGTTAGGTATACACTGCAGTTGAACTTGTTATCTGCCATTCAGCCACATGTGTTATACATTGGAATGATCAGGAAAAGCTAGTGTCTGGTGTTTTCTTATCTCATTGCCAATTACAGCTGACATACATAGCTGTACAGGAAACAAAATTTGAGAATTTCTATAGCTATTCTCGCTATGGATTTTCATGGAATTGAGTTGACTGGAAGGTCTTGAGAATGCTTTGTTTAGAGAGCACATTTCACACTTAAATATTTGATACTAATTTAATGTTCTCCTTCTCCCTTCTTTCTTTCAGGCTATTAAAACTTCAGAAAGACCAGTACCAAATAAATTATGAATGTTGAACAAGATGACCTTACATCCACAGCAGATAATGATAGGTCCTAGGTTTAACAGGGCCCTATTTGACCCCCTGCTTGTGGTGCTGTTGGCTCTGCAGCTTCTTGTGGTGGCTGGTCTAGTGAGGGCTCAAACTTGCCCTTCTGTCTGCTCCTGCAGCAACCAGTTCAGTAAAGTGATTTGTGTACGGAAAAATCTGAGAGACGTGCCAGACGGCATCTCCACCAACACCCGGTTGCTCAATCTCCATGAGAACCAGATCCAAATCATTAAAGTTAATAGCTTCAAGCATCTGAGGCACTTAGAAATCCTGCAGCTCAGTAGGAATCACATCAGAACAATTGAAATTGGGGCTTTCAATGGTCTGGCCAATCTCAACACTTTGGAACTCTTTGACAATCGTCTGACCACTATCCCAAACGGGGCTTTTGTATACCTGTCAAAACTAAAGGAACTGTGGCTGAGAAACAACCCCATTGAGAGCATCCCTTCTTATGCTTTTAATAGAATCCCTTCTCTAAGGAGGTTGGATTTGGGGGAATTAAAAAGGCTTTCATACATCTCAGAAGGTGCCTTTGAAGGTTTGTCCAACTTGAGGTATTTGAACCTTGCCATGTGCAATCTTCGAGAGATTCCTAACCTCACCCCACTTGTAAAACTGGATGAGTTAGATCTGTCTGGGAATCACCTTACTGCTATCCGGCCAGGTTCTTTCCAAGGGTTAATGCATCTTCAGAAATTGTGGATGATACAGTCCCAGATTCAAGTGATAGAAAGGAATGCTTTCGATAACCTTCAGTCACTTGTAGAGATCAATCTGGCACACAACAATCTAACACTACTGCCTCATGACCTGTTCACACCACTCCACCTAGAAAGGATTCACTTGCATCACAACCCTTGGAACTGCAACTGTGATATCCTTTGGCTTAGCTGGTGGATTAAAGACAAGGCACCCTCTAATACTGCATGCTGTGCCCGTTGTCACACACCTCCCAGTTTAAAAGGAAGGTACATTGGTGAGCTGGACCTGAATTACTTCACTTGTTATGCTCCAGTCATAGTGGAGCCACCAGCAGACCTCAATGTCACAGAAGGCATGGCTGCAGAGATGAAATGCCGGGCATCAACCTCCCTGACCTCTGTATCTTGGATTACTCCAAATGGATCTGTTATGACGCATGGGGCATACAGAGTTCGGATTGCTGTGCTTAGTGATGGCACATTAAATTTTACAAAGGTAACTGTGCAAGACACGGGTTTGTATACATGCATGGTGAGTAACTCTGTCGGAAATACCACAGCTTCTGCCACACTGAACGTGACTGCCCTGGATAACCCTGGTTACACTTACTTTTCAACAGTCACAGTAGAGACTGTAGAACCTTCTCAGGATGAGGCACAGACCACAGAGCAGGTTGGGCCCACACCAGTTACCAACTGGGAGACTACTAACATGACAACCTCACTCACTCCACAGAGCACAAGATCAACAGAAAAAACGTTCACCATTCCTGTGACAGATGCAAACGGGATCCCAGGAATAGATGAGGTTATGAAGACTACCAAAATCATAATTGGTTGTTTTGTGGCTATCACTCTCATGGCTGCTGTGATGCTGGTAATTTTCTACAAAATGAGAAAACAGCATCACCGGCAGAACCATCATGCTCCAACACGGACTGTAGAGATTATTAATGTGGATGATGAGCTTACAGGTGATACACCCATAGAGAGTCACTTGCCCATGCCGACAATAGAGCATGAGCACCTAAATCACTATAACTCTTATAAATCTCCTTTCAACCACACAACAACAGTTAACACAATAAATTCAATACACAGTTCAGTGCATGAACCGTTATTGATCCGAATGAACTCAAAAGACAATGTACAAGAAACTCAAATCTAAAACATTTATGACATTATGGGGTAGGGGTGGGGATGACAAAAGACGATTTATAAAACAAATGACACAAATGACTGGGCTAATCTACTGTTTCAAAAAAGTGTCTTTACAAAGAAAAAAATTTATTTATTAAAAATTCTATTGTGATCTAAAGCAGACAAAATTATGTTTATTCCTCAGAACCTGTTTTTGCTGCACTTATTTGCCCTTTTTGTTTCTGTTTTTCTTCCCACCCTACCCTGATTTCCATTCACCATATTTTTCATAGGAGATCTCAATTCCCTGAAAGAACTGGTCTAGGAAATTTTGGAGGAATTCTGTTGCTTTGGGGGAATTTTTATGGTAAATACTAGTGGTGAGATTCGGTCTATTTTGTCACTTTTTCTCCTTTTTTTTTTTTTTTCCTCATTGCCTTTTTGAAATTCTTAAAAGAGAATGGAACCATAACACCAACTTTACAAGTGAGAAAAACAAGCAATCAAACCTTATTTTTCCCATGTAATGATTTGCTCTGTATTTACTGAATGCACCATTGTGTGAAAAAATTGAAAAAGTAAAAAAAAGTAACAAACAAAACCTCAAGAAATTAATTGACTTGTGAAAACCTATGAAGCCCATGGTCTTTTAGGCAATTCTAGAACAGAATTTGTAGTTCAAACACTAAACAAACATTATAAATAAAATATTGATTTTTTCTGTACTTGGAAAACTATTTTTTTTGTACATGGAAAAGCTCATTTTTAGTGTGGCTTTTAGCATCACAATTTGTTAAAATTCTTACAATATTCTGCTGTGATGGTCCAAAACACAATCACTTTAAACAGAATAATTAAGTCATTTTGGGTCATTACTTAAGCATATCATAGTTTTCATTTTAGTTTATGTAAGATGCATACTGACAAACAAGGATGATTGAATTTTAATGCAATATTAAGATCCTTCCTTCTAATGGTGTTTTCAATTATCTATATCATATAGCAAGATGTATTTCACGATGCCAGGAAGTTTTGCAAGGACTTGCAGTTGTGGAATTTATTGGACAGAGCTAAAAAGTCTGTTCTGGTTTGGTGTTTTGTTTTTTGTTTGGTTTTTTTTTTTTTTTTTGGTTTTTTTTTGTTTTGGGGTTTTTTTTGTAACTTGTAACTATCAATAAGAAAATTCATCTTTACATTAAAGCTAGTGTTTTCCAGTTCAGTTGTTCTAGGACTCCTGGACATAAATATGAAACACATTTAGCTGTCTATAATACCTCTAATCAGAGCTGTATCCCTATGAAATCAAAATGCTGGTAACAGAATAACTCGCAGGAAGAAGTCTGAAAATTTTGGTTTAAAAAAACCCAAATCAGAGGAGAGTATAGGTTACTGTAATTTCATGACTACTAGACTCCCTGTAGAGTAGCAAGTTTACATTAATTTAAACTCAAATTCTTTTATCAACAGAAAGTTACATCTTTTTCTATTTATATATGTTCACTAGATTTAGCATATTGGTATAGGCACGGTTTATACCTTGCATGCTGAAAGCTAAAAGGACTTTGAGTAAGAAAAAACAGCTTCAGAACACTGTGTTCTTCCAAGTAGAAGTTCTGCCAAATTAAACTACTTGATATATTGGCAATTGAATAGAAGCATTTTAAGACAATGTAGATGGGGAAAAAGAATCATACATGTCATCTCTGTCTTTTCACCTATTTTCTTCCTTTACCACACTTACTGTGAGTTTTCAAAGTCCTGTGCCAGGTAACTAATGTTCTTGCTCCGTATCAAAATCTCTTTAGAGCTTTCTAGTATGCAATAGCATGCAGAATAAAGAACCTACTGAACAGTGAATTTCTATAAATTTAAGAAGGAGCTTCTGCTAGGTTGAGGTGGTAAACATCTCCTGTTGGATGCACAGTTTTCAAGGTTGCAAGTGAATATTGTAGTAAGAAGGCCTGATTCAAAGAGGACACAGTGAAGATAGCTGACGGTGAATCACACCCTGCAAGGAGTCTGATAACACAGAATGAAACACGAATTTCTATAATAATCTCAAAGAAACATTTGCAAGACATTATCCTTTGATGTACTACATGAAAAGTAATATCTGCTCTAAGGGAATTTTAACAGAGGACAAAGATGGACCTGAATGTAAAATGTTTCAGTTGTGATTCCTAGCTTTGCCTATTTCTTCAAAATGCATTGGAGCATTTCATTGGCAATTTCATTTAAGCATTGTGATAGAATGTACAGAAACACTGCAATTACACATTGCTATTTGTACTTTATCCATCTGTCTAATAACGTTGTGTCTATGACCAGTGCTTATCTGAAAATTGGAAAAATTCTTTCCAGGAAACCTAGGGCCACCGATCAACAGGTTTACGTTAAAAAAAATATGGCTATTCTCCCAACAGTATTTGTGAAAGCATTTATGGTCACCATGCTTTTATAAGCAGGTAGTTTTTACTAACTCCTAAAGATTATGCATGGGAGGTCTTTAAGAAAAAAGGTGTAACTATTACTAAGTGGGACAGCGGGTCAGTGACAATCTTTATTCCTTTAAGTACAAAATAATATCAGTGACTTTTATAAACAATATTTGGTTGGGTGAGTATACACATATTGTGTGGAAAGTATTAGTTATTTTCCCAGCATCTTCCCTATCCCTCTTGGAACAACAGAGATTATTTCTGACTCCCTCCTACTTCTATAAAACACTCATTATTTTCATAGATAAATTAAATACCAGAGTCAGAGAATATCACAGTTTATATCATACACTGAGCTCTGAAACAAAGTGAGAGGAGTGCTGTGCTCTCTTGGTTTGATGCTGAAATCACATGCCAATACAGCCTGTTACTACTCCAGAGACTACAATATTAAGAATGAAGCATAAGTTTTCTATATGGCAGAGCACAAGCGTTAGAAAGTTCTCATGAAATTTCTCTTGCAAGGTGACTACATTTAGATTCTGTGTGATGTAAAAATAAAAAAAATAAAAAAAAAACCCACCAAAAAACAAGGGATCTGGGTTATGAGCTATCACTTTTAGTGGGCTCATGAGAAAGGAAGAATTATTGTTCAGTTCATTTGATGGGGTTTGAAGACATTTCTCTTCTGTCCTGTGCAAATACGAAATGCACACACATTTTCTTTCTGGAATTGTCATCAAGTCTCACAAATCTTGCCATATGCAGAAGCAACATGTAAGAAGCATAACGAGTGAGTTCCATTCAATTCACCATGCAAGGCAGACATTTTATTTTACTTTGAAAAGGGCTAAATGTGTGGAAATTATTACAGTAATTGTTTGTTTTGTTTTTTTTTTTTTTTGCTGAAATACTCTAATGTGTCAAAAATAATGTATAATGATTACAAGATTCTCTGTCCCCACTGATGGCATTATAGGTCGATCACAGACTTAGAGAAAAGATAATCAAGTTAATATTGTATTTAGTTTAGCTTCATAATCTTGTAAAAAGATTTCATAACAGCTGCTATAAGCTTTGATATGTCAGACGCAACCATTACTGTAGTCTTTCCAATAAGAAGAATGGAAAATCTTTTCCACCTATTTACCCTTCTCTAAAATTTATATTTCATTTTTTTGTGTAAGGTAAATACACCATTTCTGAAATGTTCACTTGATTTCTAACTCCAGGTAGTGAAGGACCATGAAGTGTCAGGAACTATCTTGCCATTTCATAGCAAAAGAAGTAAATGAAGAAACAATTTCTCCTTATCTTCAAGATATAAAAATAAAAGTTAGGCTTCCACATCTGGTTTTCTGTTTTTCTTAGGGAAATTCTTTAATGCATGTTTGTTCTCCTTTGTGCAGCTGTTGCGAAAAAAAGACCACATTTCAAACTTGCATCGAAAATCCAATCAACAGTTAGCCTGATGGTAGTAGTGGACATCTTATTATGAGGTGGTATATACTAGCATTGTAGGAGAGTAACAGAGCCATCACTACTGAAATAGCAAGGGTTTATGAGCAGGGGATGGACTCTGGGAGATTCTGGAAAACCTACTTGTTTCTGTTGGCCCTAGGCCCTTACTCATAGCACTGCCCCATGTAAACATTGTAGTGGTGTGTAATTTGTGCCTGGAAAAGTACAGCAGGGCAGAACTTTGGATTGGGAAAAACTTCACTGGCTGCTCCCACTGAAGATCATAGATGCAGAAATAATGAATGTGTAAAATCTGAGCTTCAGACATACAGTGTATGATGAGAAATGAGGGACTTATATATGCTCATCACATTTAATCACAAGTAGGTTTCAAGGCCTAATGCTCACTAAATAGTTAAAACCTTGAATAATAAAAAAAGTCACAGATCTGCAAAGTAAGTTTAACACAAGTGGCAAATTATATTTTGACAAAATAGTAATGCTGGTTTGAAGTAGTACGGGTTTTTTCATTATTAGCTCTATTAAGACAAATGAGATCTGTAGTTCAATAGCTACATGCTATTTGCTTTGATACTAATGCTATGATTTCTTTAGGTGAGATCTGTTAAACAAAATATTATGTTGAATTTGTCTTGGTCTTAATCCTCGCTTTCATACATGTATAACTTGCAGCTGGACTGTCTTTTAATTGGAGTACTCTCCAAAGGACTGAATCAGTGAACATGATTGAATTTCGTAAGAGAGAAATTTTTCCCATACTGTAACTTCAGTGAGGTACGGAATTTTGGTATGAGGAGGAGATGCTGAAATTACATCATCAGATGATTTTATAGCTATCCTTTATAAAATAATAAAGAAGAAAATATAATGTTATTTTTGAGAACTTTGAAAACTAAATCTTATGTAAAAGTAGGAAATTCTGATTAAAAAAATAGAAGTAGTTAGAATATTATTGAACTTGAAAGTAACAGCAGATGTATTGGTTAAAGCAAGAAGTGTCAGCCGCATATCCCAGGTAAGCTTTACATCTTCTCTACCAACCCAATTTGCAAACTCAGAAGTTTGATTTACTTTTCTAAGTATCATTCAGCTTGTGCAAGGATTCTGGCTGTACTATCCATAGTTTTCTGGTTTCTTCTTAAATTTTGCAGAACATTTATGATGCAATTTGAGATTTCAGCTCCAGAACAGTTTCCCAGACAGAGCACACAAAGAATTCTCTGCTGAGTCATCCAAACTGCACCCATTTTGAGGATCA